GGGCGCTCATATTATAAGGTAAGGTTATAAAAACCATCTTTTAAGATCATTTTAGTGAAAGTTTCATGCTTCAAGGCGTACCATTCACTGCTCAAATACTAAAAAACCTGCTTCCATTGAAGATATAAAGGGCGCTCATATTATAAGGTAAGGTTATAAAACCACCTTTTAAGATCATTTTAGTGAAAGTTTCATGTTCCTATCTCATAGAATTTAAGAACAATGATGAATAAATCATTTTCGAGCAAAATTTAAATGGCCGGCTGAATATATTACCGCAGGAGACGCAGCCGCGGAATTTAAATTACCGCGTCAAAGGGTTAAGATGTTTCACAGAAATGGGTCTGCATGTCACAATATACAGTATGTGCTAAAATATGCAGTACTGAAACTCGCGCATGTGCATTTGTCGATAGGGCATAGCTCCAGCCGCACATGTTCTCAGTAGTGAAAAGGAAGTTGTGTTGTGCATTTGTTGGAAATGGGTCTCTCGATGGAGGAAAAAGTATTCATAATTGAGTATTATTTCTGCTCATACGGAAGTGGTCACCAGACAACTCGCTTCCTTGGTTTTGAGCAGCCAGATGTTATCGTCCAGAAACTGCTACATAGTACACTAGTGACAATATGGTGTGCCATCTCAGCACATGGTATATTAGGCCCCTATTTCATTGAGGATGAGGAAGGCAATGCTCTTACCATTACCCAAGAATGCTACAGGGATATGGTGATCAGACCATTTCTTCAGGATTTGAGAAGGTTCTGTCTTGCAAGGGGCCTTCATATGAATAGACAGTGGTATCAACAGGATGTCTTCATTTCAGTACTGTATTTTTGGCACATGCTGTATTATAAATAAAGTTAAAGTTCTTGTACTTAACTAATTAAGCACTGCACCATGAAGAAATATGGGGAATGGATGTATAGATCCACATATTCTTGAGCTCTGCACTAGTTGGAGGTGAGTGATTAGCTTCACGCCCTGGCCTTTTTTCCCCAGGGAAAGACCCCTTGATACCCATTGGGTAGGAGGCTTTATGGGCCCCAGAGGAGAGGAGAGAAAAAAATTGTGCCACACCCGGGACTTGAACTCCAACCCCTTGGCCATCCAGCCAACTGGATACTATACTATACTACTGCTATACTGACTGGCCTATCCCACCTCCCTCATGTATTATAAATATTCCTTTAAATTATGTATAAAATATCGGTTACAGTTACAAAAATGTGACAGAAACTTTTGAATTTATATCTGACAAATATAATAAGTTCTTCCCCAAAAGAAAAACAGTAGTAATAACAATATGAAAAGTCAACAACATAGAGCTGATGAAAACTTGAATTTTAACTGTCAACATAAATTTTTAATTAATGTTGTTCATTCAGCAAGAGATAATGGAATACAGGTTCTAACAGTGTACCAGCTTCTAGGCAGTATGAGGAATGTGCTTGATGACAGCGGTGACTGAAACATATTTTGCTAAGAGCACTAATAATTGAATGCAATGTGACATTGTAAAGAAGCCACACAGCCATCTGAACAATAAACAGAAATTGCAAAAAAAAAAAAAACTAAAAAGTAATGTTAATTAATATTAATCAACAGTCAGTCAGCGTTCCTGGCTACAGATCGAGAGGTCCGGGTTTGATTCCTGGCGCTACCAGATTTTTTTGGAGAAGTAGTGGGTCTGAAATGGGGTCCACTCATCCTCGTGATGATAATTGAGGAGCTATTTCAAAGAAATAGCGGCTCCGGTCTAGAAAACCGAAATTAACGGCCATGGGGATTCGTTGCGCTGACCACGTGACACCTTCTATCAGCAAAAAGTTGGCACCAACTTCACCGACAAGTGGCGGTCGCTCAGTCAGTATAGTTCGCTTGTGGACTAAAATCACGGAGTTGGTCTGTAATATATTAAGTGTTGGAAGCAATAAAATCATTCACCTAGCTGGTTGATATAACTTATGTTTGGGAGATGACAGCATTGTTATATAACTATAATTAAATATCTGCTTCCCAAGTTCTTGCTAATCACAGTGGTTTTGCAGAACTCGTATCCATTTTGTCCTATTTTTCCAGTCTGAAGGTCTCTTTCTTTCATTATTTCTTGCATTTGAGTCACCAGATCATTTAATTGGATTTAAACACTTTATAACCTTTAAAGCACACTTTAACATTCAGAAATTCTGTGCTTTGTCTGCAGAGTGCATTTATATGTTTTTTATACTTCTCAGAATAAAGAGTGATTATGTTCCTAAACCACATTAACTGTGGTATGTTCTTTTGTGAGACAGGAATTGATATCTTAAGTATTTTGTAGATGAATATTAGATCTATTTGTATGTCTGCCATGTTTAACCTTTTTGGAAGAATCCACTTCCACAAATTATTTAGGCGACATTTTTCAGCAGAAGTTGGAGAACGATGTCCACGGTCTGTTTAGTTTCCTTAATGAAAACAAACCAGTTATCTCAATTAACCAGTGTTCACTAAATGGCAAACCATTCTTGTGGACAATTGTGTCACGACGCTGTTGTTTCCGAGCCGGAACTCGGCTCTTTACCAGAGGCATTGATGTGCAGGGTAATGTTGCCAACTTTGTTGAGACAGAACAAATAGTGGAATTCAGTGGAGACAGGAGTTCTTTTGTCCAGGTTAGTACAGTCAGTATTTTTAATATATTATAATGGTGCAGCACTCTGATCTGTGTTTGAAACTCCATAAATTGTGGAAGATCGAACTACACAATTGTGTAGATGGAACACCCACAATTTATGTATATCTAACATGAAAATACACTCCGATACTGTATTCTGTAGAACTGACAGTTTGACAGATTTTGCATCGCATGTTTTCCTGTAATATTGTTTCCATTCATAAATTTGAATTCTAATGCCCTTCTTGGTATCATTGTTCTCTGCATTTCTTTTACATGGCAGAAGTATTGTATGTCCTCTCTCTTGTAAACAAATTAATAAACTTCGAACTCCAAGTTTTCTAAACACTTCATGTCTAATTCTGTTCAGCTAAACCTGTTAATAAACCTTGGATTCCAATTTATGTAAATATTTCATTTCTAGTTCTCTTTATTCTTGTTTATGCCCTCAGAAATTTTGTATCCATTGTATCGATTTTGCTTTTGTTTCTCTCATGGACTGATGCTTCAGTGGTAAACGTCAGTATGAATTTCAGACATGCTTTATAGATTGTTGCTGATTCTTGTGTGGGGGGGGAATCTTACTGTTCCAGAACATTCATTTTATAATTTCATAGCATATGAGAACTGATTTATTTCTGTTTATCTTTCCGTCTGTTTTCCCTTCTTAATTTATTTTACCCTCCAACTGAATAAATTTGTTCCCCTCTGTAGCTATTATGTTGCTAATGTCCATTCCACTCTGGCAGATGAGTGCCGTCCAAGCAGTCTACCTTCACCATGGTGCCTCTAAATCTATATAAATTTTAAGTTTATAAGAATGATTAACACATATTATGAAAAAGGCAAAATTGTCCCTGTTCGTAAGCAATTAAGCGCTGTGCTATGATCATGTATGGGGGGGGAGAATGGATTCTTGACCTGGACACTAGTTGGAGGTGAGTGGTCAACTTCGTGCCTTGGGTGCTTAACCCACAGTAAAAGAGGCCCCAGTACTCATTGGATAAGAGGGTTGGTTGGCCCCAGATCCAGTCTGGATGATGTGGAGAGGAGTAAAATCATGCACCTAGTGGGACTCGAACTCAGGCCCCTCAGCTGTCCAGCCTGTAACCAGTCATACTGGCTGCGCTGTGCTGGCCCACCATGTTTTATGAAAACCAGTGAAATATCCAGCTATCTTGTGTATCAGTCATGCCTTAATTTTAGATTTTTTTATGTCACAGTTGGTTATTTAATAGCACTGTCAATATCTAGACTGCATAGTGTCAAATGGTAGGATGGTAAATGAATTTGGAGCAGTTGGTGGAATGGAAATTAGCATGGGGAGTTGAAGTTCTCGGAAAAGACCTGCTTTGGTGCCACTTTGCCCACCACATGACCCTGGCAGCTGCTGTGGGAATCTAGCAGCTAACTGCATGAACTGTGGCATGGTATAGTCTTAGTATTACCAGATGCTTAACACTGCACTCTTTTGCAATATAATGCCATATTGGCTGGTAAATAGTGCAACTCTGTGCCATGTCTGTGGAGTCAGTTGATCATTAGGAGCTTGTGAGCCAATCAGAGAAAAGGCTATTGGTCAAATTACAATGTAAAAGTTAATTAGGCATTTCAGGAAAGGTCAGTAATTAGCTTGACACTGGTAGCTTCTGTTTGAGACATCACACAAATAAACCATAAATGAACAATCATTGAAGTCACCAAAACGGCGATGTGTAACATGGCATATGCTGACCATATGTTGTATAAACAAGGGTACATGATATCTTGTATAGGCAACCACAGTGAAGAAAAGTGTGTTTGCTTTTCACAGCGTCATATGAATAGCAGAGGTATGTTGAAAATCCCTGATGATGATGTAATGGTCTACATCATAAAATCACTCTACACCTTCAGTCCCATACTGCATTTGATCAGCAGTCCAAATGTCAAGCCTTGTAGGATCATTGGTGTGTATTTAAAATATTGTGACATCACAACTGAAGCCAGAATAGTGGAACAAGTAAAGGTAGTCATTGCTAAGCTGCAGTATCCATGGCAACAGATACTGACACAACAATAGATCGCTCTGTTTTTTTGTGTTTGTTCTATGCCTAAGCTGTATAACGAGGACCAACAGCAATTTAACAAATAACCAGTCAGCAGAGAGAAGTGCACAGATTATAGATTCATGAGACATTAAAATAAGGTCATGAGTCCAACAGGGCTTGGAATCAAGAGCAACTGTGCTGGCAAGGTCCAACAGCAATTTACCTGACCAACCACCCAATCAGTTATAAGTTATAAGTAAGCACTGTCATTTTATGGTTGGCCCCAAGGGATCTCCATTGTTATCATCCACTACCTAGCAACAACTAATGGTGATAGAATAACAAACAGAAGACTACATAATTGCTGCATTTGTAATGATTTATATTGTATGTAAATTAGTGGGTTGTTGTTGTTGTTATTATTGGAGAGGGTGGGTTTCCCCATGCACTTAGACCAGATATTGGTCCATTGTGTGTCCCCCTGTGATATTCTACCAGTCTCTATACCCTACCAGTACTGGTGCATGCCATCAGTCCCGACTCAGCCAGCGACTTCGGCCTCTACTGGCTCAGCGGTATCTCGATTCTTCCCCCATCTATTAGAGGGGTTAGAGACTACTGTTGGGCGGGAAATGTCCTGAATTTGGCTCAGAGATCCCCTTGAGACATGAGGTTCTTTTACATGCCGTAAAGCTACGACGCGGGACCCATGGCTTAAAGTCCCTCCCAGAGGACTTGTTCCCTGAATTTTTCCGCCCTTAAAAATTCCACAACCTCCGGCCGGTTTGAACCCACATACCTTGAGTCACGAGGTGGGAACGTTACCCCTAGACTATGGAGGCTGCTTAAATTAGTGGGACGGTTATAATTATTTTTAGTTACTAGTCTCCGTCAAACCAGGCCCCGCGTTTATTCACTAACAAGTGAAAACAAATGTCAAAAGTGTGATTGGTTGGATTGATTTCATTTGAACCAACATGGTAGCTCACTATAGCACACGTGGAGAATCTGATAGCCACCCTGTGGGAAATGCAGGCTAGTCAGCAGATAGTAATAGATATTAAGGCTACAGTAGGCAATCATGAAAAGATGGGAGTCCAGTCAAGAAAATATGAAAGTACAGATGGATGTCACTTGGGCACCACTCAAGAGAAGAAGAAAGCCATGATAGAGAGCAGCCAGGAAGAAATGAAGGCCACAGTGAGGGCTATCCAAGAAAAGATTAATGCCACGATAATTTCTGTGGGGCCTGAACTGGTAGAGACCACGAAGAATCGAGTGGAGGACATCATTTCATCCATTCACCAATGAACACATCACTTCTGCAAGGAACAGCACGAAGATTGAAGAAACACAGCTGGGTTTACAAGCAATAACGATCTCCCTCATAGTGGATACAAAGGACATTCATGAGGAGCTCCGCCTCCGGATTCCAGGGACTCGAATTGACATTCAAGCAACAAAGACCATGGTAGAAACCACGCGACATGGACTCAAATCCAGGCTAGCAGGAGTCCATGCCTGATCTGAGCGCAGACCTTGGGGACCACAGGCACCAGCCCTGTGCAGACATCTAATTTCTACAGAACGACATTGTGGGCCTAGTTCTGATGGCAGTTTGAGACCGTGGCGGAGCACAACTAGTAGACACACTAATAAAGCCACATACCTGATCGCTGCCTGAATGCCCAGGCTTCCTATCTTCTACATTGTGTCCTTACCGGAATGACATGCAAAGACATTATGAGGCGCTTGAGAACCTCTAGAGAAAGGGTCTCCAAACTACGGCCCGCGGGCCACATCAGGCCCGCGATGTGATTTTATCCAGCCCGCGAAAGAATCATGCAGAAATGCGCCAATTGAACTAATTTTCCAGTGAGTACTGGTAAATGTGATTCTGAGCTTATTGACCTGACATATTATATGCAGTTCGATGGCTTAGCTGTGGAAAGGTTCTTTTGTGCTTCTTTTAGCTCAGGAATGAAATTGCTATATTTCTTACCGAGAAAAACCATCACGTACCACTTCTATCAGATACCGAGTGGCTTTGGAAATTAGCAGTTTTTGCTGATCTGGTGAACCATAGGAACCATTTGAATTTAAAGTTGCAGGATGAAAATATCAGTCTGTGATTTATTTGCAATTATCAAGGCATTCAGAGCAAAGTTGATACTTCTGGAAAGCCAAGTGAAAAATTGTAACTTTGTTCATATGCTATACTGTGCAGAGTTGCATAAAAAGGGTAAAGCAGAATTTCCTTCCTCTTTTGCAAATTTAGTCATTTCAGATCTGAAAGAACAATTTTGGAAGCGATTTGCTGATTTGGATTCCAGTGCTCAGGAAATTAGGTTGTTTCAAAATCCATTTGAATGTGATGCTGCAGATGTCCCAAGTCAAATTCAAATGGAAATTATTGAACTTCAGGAAAATTATCATATTAAAGACAATTACAAGGAAGGAAATTTGATCGAATTTTATAAATTTCTGAACTCTGATCAATTTCCAAATTTAAAGAAATTTGCTTGTAAATTTATCTCCATTTTTGGGATGACATATCTGTGTGAACAAACTTTTTCCCAGATGAAGTACATCAAGTCGAAATACAGGGCAAATTTATCCGATGAACGATTAAAGTCGCTACTTGTGATTAGCGTTTCAGAATTTGAACCTCAATTTAATCAGATTTTAAGAATGCAAAAAAAGTTCCATCATTCACATTAATTGTTTTATTATAATTTGTGATGAAAATATGAGCATTTTCTGCTACTGTCTGTTGTCATTAATATTCGATAATTTATTCTCACGTACTTTATATATAGTTTATGAATTTCTGTGCTTTCAATAAAACTCATATACCTAGAGTTATTAATTTCTTATTTTATCCGGCCCATTGAAAGTGCTGAATTACTTAATATGGCCCGTGGTTTGAAAAGTTTGGAGACCCCTGCTCTAGAGCGACCAGCACCTG